GAATCCTCCAACGCAAAACGGTGGTTCCGCCAGGTTTTGGCGAGTGGCGGGATCCGAACACGAGCAATCTTCCACCACAATCAGATATCCAACGTGAAAAGACGGGATCATCTTCGACGGACGTTGGGGAAATTAGATCACCGCCCCCTCTATTCGGCTCAACCACAAAGAAGCTACAGCAGTCCACCGCGTCAGCAAAAGTGTCGTCTACGGGAAGGACCTCTTCGCAAGCATAAGCCCCTGTGCAATCGTCGCACATCAACCACCTTGTCCGGACAGGAGAAACAAAGGGTGGCTGTCCCATCACTGTCACTCGGGCGCAATACTCCCGGCCTCTTTATTGCTCCATAAGGAGGTACTCACGCGTGAGGACGAAAACCTGAAATCACACAAGTCCTCGTGGCACGCGCGGCCAAAGAACATCCATTTGCCAAGATCGTATCGGATCCCGCACGACGCCTCACCGGGGGGGTCAAAAATATCTCGCGTCGACTCCGATCCGATAAATTGGACCTTGGCACCACTATCCAACCACAAGGATTCATAAAAACGTGGAGATATCTACTTCCAATCTCGCTCTCCCCTACAGTGCCGTTGTTGCAGCTTTTCGAAGCCTCTTCAGTTGCGCAAATACGACCCCTTTTCCGCCGAACTATGGGAGGCCAGGCCACTCGGGCACTTGGATACCGCTCACAACTCTAGCAAGACTGCACCAAAATCCCTGCTCCCAACCTCGCTCCCCCCTGCACGGTGCGGTTGTTGCAGCTGTTCGAAATATCTTCAAAAGCGTAAATACCACCCCTTTTCCGCCCGACAACGGGAGGCTGGGCGACTCGGGCACTTGGATAGCGCTTCCAAACTCTTGCAAGACTGCACGAAAATCCCTGGACGCCGACACCTTGTAGGGCGGAATCCACGCCCCATTTTTCCACGGCAACGCGGCGCAAAATCGTGAGAAGCAGCACATCACATCATCGACGGGAAAGCAACGCTCCGACGAGGATGCCCAGACCCGCCACGGCCGCGCCTCCCGCGGCGACGTTCCTCACAGTCTCATCTTGGGGTGTCGAAAAAAAGCAAGAGCAAGCAAGCGAGTGAATGGAAATTTCATTGGTCAGAGAATGGAGCGTTCTTCGCTTCGCCTCGTGTATGTTTTACGAAAGTTGAGCAGCCGCGCAAATTTCGCTGCCTGACCGGGGATGAGCCCCCCCCACCCGGGCGCTCTGCGTACTTCACTGCAAGGATTTGATTTTCATGGTACTTTTCGCACACGCCTATGTATGTACACGAGCTTTACGCCTACCTCGGGTTGAGATGGACGTTTGCTGTATCGGGGGGGGGGGGGCACAGTTGCCAGCAGGTATGCCGTCGTTCGTGTTTCTCCCCTCTTGCATTGTTTGCGCGACAGGAAGGGTTGCATCGCTGGCACCATCCGACGGAATGTTCTCAGGCAGCTCTTACGAAGACCAATCAAAACAAGCGCAACCAAGGGTCGACAGCAGTCTCGACGACCCATGCAGAAATGAACAAAAGCAACCCTTCTTGCATGCGAAAGGAACCAGAACGCGCCGTGGGGGAACAACAGAGGTGCACTCGTGCACTCAATTTCAGCAACAGTCAAGGGCACATTTTTTCTTTTTTTTTTCGCATCCGGATACCACGTGTGAATGGCGTTAGACAGTTGGTATGTCGGGCGGCTCCTGTTCTGCGATGAGTTAAGGGCCATACCACCTTTGAATCGCCAGCAGCAACGACCCAGGAGGGGCTAAGGTGGGCCAACATGGAGAGGGCAGTAGGGCGCCCGTACGGGCAGACAACGCTTGGTCAACCGGGGAGCCGATACATGAGCACGACTCACTTCTGCGGGCAACGGCCTCCTGGACAGCCTTGTGCAAGGTTTGCGCGGCGGGCATGTCTGGGTCCATCCTCAGAACGATCTCCACCATGCTGCGGCACTCCTCGTATCGTCCCATCCTGCCAACCAAAAGCCGACGAGGGCAAAGAGACGAGGTTGAAAACAGAAAAAGAAGAGAAAATGCCTTCGGGTCCAACCTTCGCCAAGCGCACGCTATGCCTGTTGCAAGCTCGCAGGCTGCGTGGGGCCTCGAGGAGGCATGAACTGCGCGACCATTGCTGCTTGTCTGCGCCCTTTCCAAACACAAAACGTCGAGTCTCGAGGCACGCGGCACCGGGCATGAGATCGACCGCAACCTCTGCATAAACTGACGGCCGAGACAAGAAGGTGAAAGGTCTGCATGCGGTCTCTTCGAGCTGACGCACAACAACAGGCTAGGGTGCTATCCTGAAAAAAAAAAAGCTCGCTTCTTCTTGCTCGGTGGTGACAAGGCTTCTCTGCACATGCAAGTATCGCCGCCGAGTTGCATTCAATGAACAACTGCACCACGCATCACACGGGCGAAAATAGAAACCTGCACATCGTAGATCGCGGCAGCAGCAACAACAACAACAGCAACTCAGGTCTGTATGTATCAGCTACTTGAGGTGTTGATACTGCTCTTGGTCTCACCGGTACAGCGCGAGAGCCATGCTGTAGTAGCACTCCCCAACGTGGTAGCTGCTTTCAGCAAGACCTGGCACATCACGAGGGAACGGAAGGGAAGGAGGGCAACAACGAGGAGGAACGGTGAAGAAGGAAAGGAGCACGTCCTACGCAGCGGGACTCTGCCAGAGGTTACAAAGCACACACCAACCGACACCCAGACCAATTGTGCAATGATTTTTCGATCCGCAACTTCTATCGAGAAGAAAAAGTGTGGAAGTGGACCCTCGAAGCCCGTGTTTCATTGCCCCGATGAGCTGCTTTCCTTGGTCAGTCGGAAAGAGCGTTCGTCCTTTATCAACGAGCACACAAGCGCCCCCGTGGACCAGACAAGAATGTCGTGTCTTCATGGTCCAGCCGACGGCACGGACTGCGCTTACAGTCGAACCACACACCCTTGCACACCGTCAACATAAACACGCACGGCAGTGGGCGATCACGGCGTAGCCTGAGAAGGAGAGCCTTAAACCCATGGATATCATCACCATATGCATACGACAGACGAGGGCCAACCCACCTTCCAACAGAGACATTCCCTCGCGATTCTTGTCGTGGGATCTGGTCTTGATTAGCGTAAGGGCGTACTGGAACTTGATGTCGAGGTTTGGCTCGTCCTTGTTGCTCTCCTGCAGCCACATGTCCCGCAATCTCTGTTGTTTCGGTGTTCGAAAGGGAAACGGCGGACGAAACGCGCGCACGCGGGCGCCAGGTGTATTGAATCAGAATGGAGCGATAGGATACATCGACCGAGACTACAGAATGTAGCCTACACTACTTGCGCTGTTTCTTTTTTCCCTGGACAATCTTGGCATTTGAAACTCAAATATGCCCCCCAAGTCCCTGGACAGTCAAAAAGGAGTGTTGCCCATTGTTTCTTGAGTTTTTTTTCAATTCTGTTCCGGACGCCCTTCGACAGTAGTACACGATGATGTGTTTTGGGTTTGTTTTTTTGGATCGACCACCTGGAGTAACAGGACGAAGGCCTGCAAAAGGTCCTGTTTTTTTCCTTGTTCTATTGTCCGAGGGATCGGTGACACCTTTTGGGAATTAATTGCGCGCACAGCCACAGCACCTAACAAAATGCGACGATGCCGGCCAATACATCGCAAACACCCGTGGAACCTTGGCGCGAGAAAACTCCAGGAAAGCAAACGTCAGCAGCTTGCAACGAGCTTTCAAAAAAATAGAGGGAGAAGAGACACACGGTTCAAACAGCAAATTCTGCACATGCGGGACGATTCGCCAGCGTCAATATGAAGACCGTTCCTCGGCCAGATACAAAAGAAGACACGAAATCACGGTTGGAACGCACACGTGCGGTTCGCCCCTCACGTCGTTTGAATACTTTGACATCGACATCACTCAGGTGGCGGCAAAGAGCAACGCACCTGAGGCGCGAACTCAGGAGCGCCGAAGCAAAGTCCAGTCTACACTGCTGGTTACAGCAGTACTACAGCAGTATTCTGGAACAAAACACAGCACGTAGGTTTCTACACACAACACTCACAGGGCAGCTTGCTTCCGCAACGGGAGCCTCCGCCTTCAGCTGTTGGTCCAACAGCTCCGAGTTGACCTTCGACGGCATGGCTGCTAGTGTGCTAGTGTTTTTTTTCCTGTTGGCAACAAGCAGCGTCTAGGAGAAGCAGAGCAGTGGGGCTTGGGGAGCAGAGAGACACACACACATGCAGCGACGAGGAGAAAAAAAAAAATGGGGGCAACGCTGAATGAATATTCGTCTTTGTTTCGGTGTGGCTTTCGAAACGGAGAAATGGTAGGGGGGTGATGCCAAAGTCGAGCCCCCCTTTTCCGTGGCTCTGGCTGGTGCTGGGTGCAGCTCCTCTCAGTGCCCTGGTCTGCGAGCTTCGTCGCGTGTGAGGCAAGATGGTGAAACACAACAACGTCGTGCCGAACGGCCACTTCCACAAGAAGTGGCAGAGGAGGGTCCGGACATGGTTCGACCAGGTGAGAAGGCTGCAGCAGCAGCGATCCCCAAGCATCAAAGGCAGGAGAGCTGTAAACCCCCAAAACTTGCACGACCAAAGGAATGGCTCCCCTATTGGGGGCGGCTGCGTGGCAGTCCCCTATAGCCAAGGGATTGAAAGAGAATGGTCTCTGGGTATGACGTTCAGCAGTGTGTCTTCACTGTGCTTGCTTGTTCGGGGAGGTTTGTGTCAAGACCGTAAAAAGTGCATATCTACCAAACTCGCGTGTGTGTGGCAAGCCGTCGTTTGGACAGCAGGGGCAGGGCAGGCCTGTGGCCATTATCTTGCCGCTTGACTTGGAGCACCGCGGCTTATATGGAGGCACACAGCACTACTGTTGCTACTGTTGCCAGTGCCCGCAGTTCTTCTGGCCGTTCCGTCTGCTCCAGGAACCCCCGAACTTGACACGCTATGATGTTCACGAATCTGTAGCTGTGTGCTCCCGTGTTGGACGACGGGAGCGGGCAGGGACATGGGAGTCCGATTCCCCTAAGGCAGTACTTGCAGAGTACAACATGGTACAGCACGCGACGACTGCTGGGATGCACTTATTTGCACTGTTGTATTTGTCCCTGGCTGTCGAGCTTCGTGTCACCTGGAGGACGTATCAACGGAACTTGACATGCGTCGAGCCGTTCAAAGCAGCGCCTGGTGTCTGGTATACTCAAGTCTAGTGTAAAATTGCTGTGGTGTTGATTTCGGGTCTTGGGGGGGCGCTGCCGTAGGTTACATGATGTAAGATATCACACCCCCTTGGACCGATTTTCAATGCTGGATTACTCCACAACGAAGAGGATGCCGAAATTACCGGATATGATTTCGGAAACTCTCGATGAGACGGTTCCAACGCCGCCATCATCGGCACCGTCAACGCTTTTTTCTGCCGAGAAATCGAGCTTCGAAAATTGGTCCAGGGGGTGTGATGTGTTCTGCGACTCAAGGTGTGCGACACGAACGGAAGGGCGGCTTTGCCGTTCCTTTTCGGTTGGGCTAGTGAGGTGCAATCACTCGATGTAGTTTCCTGTGCAACAGCGTCGACATCTGCCTTCAATATGCAGCGATAGCCTATATCTTATTGGAATGTATGTTCTCAACGAGTAGTGAACGGCCCTACTTGGTGGACACCCAAGCACCACGGCGAAGTTTTTTCACCACGAGCAAAGCAATCCCCTTTGGCTTCTGTGCCGAGCGCCATTGCTGACGGTTTTCCGGGCAGGGGCACTATCTCAAGCGCGACCAAATTGGCTGGCTTTTGTTTCGCCGAACGAAGAGAACACTCGACTTGAGATATTGAGATATGTTTCGTGCTCTTGATCAGACCAAGCCTACGTCGCGCGTCAGAGTACGATAATGAACCTTTGAGCAACTTGGCCGCCGTCTTTTCACGCACCTGCTGTGAGTGGGTGACTTAACTTGTGAAGATCGCTGTCGTAGATCCGGAACTCTGTCGGGCCGAGCTTTCGTCGTGCATACGCATGCGGAAATACATGCTTGTTTTTACAAACTTGACAACAGCTAACAAACTTGACAACAGCAGTAGGTGCGCATAGGTGAGCTCACCTCGTGAGAGATGCCAGAGCTCAAGTGCTGGTACTGCGATTGCCAATGGCAGAGGTCTGGCTATGAGCCCGAGCTGCATCGTGTCACAGGCTTGTTTTTGCAGCTCGTGGCCTCTGTCGATGGATGAGCAACATCGTGGAAGGATAAAAAGCACACTCACGAACGAACTGCTGGTGCTTTTTTTCGTCTGTTTGCTAAACCTCACCCTTTCCTTTCCTCGCCGCCAAATCGTGTTTTGTGTGCGCGATCGCGGGGTTGTCCCGTGTTTCCTAACTCGCTTCGACGGTTACACAGCCCGCCAAGAAGAAGGCGCGCCGCCAGGCTCGGCAGGAGAAGGCCGCTAAGATGGCGCCGCGCCCCACCCAGCTCCTCCGGCCGGCAGTGCACTGCCCCACGATCAAGGTGAGGGGTAGTGCGAAGTTTTTTTTCTACGGAGTATGCATGTACCGTATATGACACAAGATAACACACCCCCTGGCCCGATTTTCAAAGCTCGATTACTCGATGACGAAGAGGATACATAAACGAAATTATACATTTTCGAAAAGCTCCCAACGCGACGGTTCCAACGCCGCCGTTTTCGGCGCTGTGAGTCTCCCTGCTGTTGAGAAATAGATCTTTGAAAATCGGTCAAGGGGGTGTGTTATCTTGTGTCATGTACGGTATTTCCTCTCACATCTCCGGTCCAGTCTGCTCGGGCCTTTGGTCACGCATAACTGTAGGAATTGAGGCGAACAGTTCATTTTTTGCGGGCTGTTGGGGGCACTCGCGGTCCCAACCAATTTAGTCTCTCGAAGAGTCAGACTGCTGTTTCAGCGTGCCGCACTTCTGATGCCCCTCAGAAGACACTACTGTACTATGTTAACAAGGTACCATCCAAAACGTGGCTGAAGCAGAGCCTCCGGTACATTGCACACACTGCGTGAGGGAACGGTAAATGATCCTACAATAGTGTTGGGAACGCTCTCAACAACTCTATATATGACCTGTGGCAAGAAGTTGGAGTTGGCGGGTGGTGCTCTACACCACCTAGCTTGTGCGAGTCTGCGCAACCAGCGTTGACATCAAAGAAAGGTCTGCGTGCTCATGACCTAGAGTACCTGAGACGCTTTGCTCTTGAAGGTGCGCCGAATCAGAGATTGGTGTTCACCCGCTGTGTTTCGTGTGCCGCCGTGCCGTAGACGTCGGATTTACTCCGCAGCACCCCCGAAAGGGGGCGCCGTGAGTGAGAAATTCAGCCACACTGCCCCCTGTGTCGATACTGCGCCGGGGTTTAGCCTCGGGCATCCCGTGTAGCCGTCATGTGCGCCGGTGGTTGCTTGCCCTCGCTGTAGGCAACTCACCCCGCCCGCCGCCAAGATGTGTCCCGTCGGCATGGTGGCATTGGCAAGCTGCCTTCCCACCTCCCGCTCGGCGCCAGCGAGGCGGGTTTTACAAGTGATGTGTCGCGTTGGTCTTAGGCGTTTCTTGCCACGTGAATCGAACACGCCCGTGGTGTAGGCTTCGACAACAGCCCGTGCAGAGAATTCGACCAGGAGGTTCATGGGAGGAGGATTTGCGTGTTGTCGGTTTATCGCTTTGCTCACCTCACGTCTCCTTTCGAAGTTCCTCCCCCTCCCACCCAGACCGCTGCCATCTGTGTACTGTACCCCCGTTCGTCATGGTCGTATTCTCTACTTGGTCCCGATTTTGCTCTCTTGGCATCGACGATTGATGTTGCAGTTTTCGCCCGTGATTAAGAAGCAAAGGCTCAAATTTTGGCGATAGATGAGAAAATCGACTGAGAACCACACAACCCTATGTACATGATGTACTGAATATGATAGGCTCCACGGTGGTGACGAAATAAGAAATTGAGCCTCGACCCCGAATTGTCGTTTCTTACCGACGGGCGCTAGCTGCTGCGTACCTCTTATGTTTTTGTTTGCAGTACAACCCCAACGCGAGAATTGTCGTTTCTTACCGACGGACGCTAACCGCTGCGTACCTCTTATGTTTTTGTTTGCAGTACAACTCCAAGGTCCGCCTTGGGCGCGGCTTCAACGTGGAGGAGCTCAAGGAGGCGGGCATCTCCAAGAAGACGGCCCTCACGATCGGTATCGCCGTCGACCACCGCCGCACCAACAAGTCGGTGAGCGGAGGGAGGGAGAGATGCAGTGACGTTGTTGCATTGCGTTGTGGGTGGAGAGGTGTTGACACCTGGTTTTTAAGTGCACCAACAAGTCGGTGAGCGGAGAGATGTTGTTTTACGTGTAAACCGTGCAAATGGGAAACGTAAGCCGGAAGTAACTGGGTTGCACATTGGAAACACCGGGGTTCGGCATAACGCCCGCTACTTTGTAATAAAGCTGTCACCGAAAAAGGATTGCTGGCTGTTGCCAACCTTGTTTCGTCTCCCACCGCTCTTGCCAGACTTCGTCGCGTGGTGTTCATGCATGAGAGGAGTTGTGCGCGAGAAATTGTGATCGCTTTTTTCGTGTGCAATTTTGTGATTGGTTTTGTCTCTTGCAGGAGGAGTCGTTCGCGGCTAACGTGGCTCGCCTGAAGGAGTACCGCGCCAACCTCATCATCTTCCCCCGCGGCAGCAAGCACCTGCCCAAGAAGGGAGACTCGTCGCTCGAGGAGCAGAAGGCCGCCACGCAGGTGGGAAGAACAGAATGAGAAGGCTTGTGTGTGTGTGTGCCGCCCCCACAGCTCGCTGGCGTAAGCTGCTGCCCCTCAGCAAGTATCGACAAGAGAATTGAGAATGAAGAACACCAAGGGTCACCATAGCAAGTGGCGTTTGTTTGTATTGTAGCATGGGGGGAAGGTGCACGAGGAAGGCAAGCTTTGGGTCGGGGTTGGTTTGGGTCCCATCCCCGAGGTAATAACGCCGAGCAAGCAATACAGACCCTAGGCTCCACGGTTCCAGGCCCATGGCAGTTTCCTGGCCCGGCAGGCATGCTAGTCTGTATCCTGATAACAGCCCGACTCGTGCACGTGTGCCAAGGCGGCGCCCCAGGTTTCTTGGAATGCTTTATTTTTTTCCCGAAAGCCGTCGTGGCCATCTGTGCTTCTCTCTCAGTGCGTGAACGTCTTTTGTGTTGTTCGCCCCCTTTCATGTGCCCTTGCTTCGTGAAAACCTGCTATCTGCTGCCAGGTTACCGGGGTTACCATGCCCCTCGTCAAGGCCGACAAGCCCGTCGAGTTCCTCCCCGTAACCGCGGTAAGTTTTCCCTGCCCGTTTTGTTTCCCCGGGCTTGTTGTTTCTCTCATCTCACGGATACGATGCCACTAGGGTAAACTGCTTTGAAGATTGTACTTCCATGCTAGCAGCTGTTGAAGCGTGAAATAGAGCAAGGAACTTCGAGGTTTACGGTTCGGAAACTCGAGGACGCTCCCGTCACGCATCGCGAATTGCAGTCACGTTGATCCTTGCATCGTGTGGCCTGTTTTCATGACCGAGTGCTGCCACATGCGTACGTGTAGTGCATTTTGTATCGTGAACGCCATCAGTCCAAAACTGCCCAATATGTCGACCCCAGTACAGAAGTAACAGGGATTTGTGTGAACACTACATCTGGTTCGTGTCTGGACTTTTGTACCCGGTATTAGGCTTTTTGCCCCCCTTGGTTGCCGTTCACTCTGCCCCTGCCCCTCAGAACACGTGTACGGTACGCTGCTCCCCCCGGCTCGCCGCACTCCCCGTCCACCGCGCTCCTATGTTCGACGTAGATTGCGGGTGCGTGTTTTCGTTTTACACCCCGACCCCCGAACGATCGTCTGAACAACGATGTGCTGCCCTCTCTCGACCCTATGCTCCGCAAAAAAAAAACGTCCAACAGGAGATGACCGCAACCAGCCTCCACAGCGAGAGGCGCGTGGCCCGCAACGAGTTCAAGTTGGCCGGAATCCGCATCCGCCAGAAGGAGGAGAAGACCAAGAAGTAGACGGAGCAAACTTGTCATGATTTTTTCGAAAAAAAATGCCGGGGGAATTCCGTCTCTGAAAGAACTGGGAGGGGTTTCGAACTGGTTTTTTTCTTTCGGGAAATCGGGGGCGGGCGGCTGGCGCTGTTGGTTTTTCACGGCCTTCACGCGCTTGTTGTTTAGCCGGGCCTGCTGCTTGAGTGACGAGGTTTTTGGTGACTGTTGCGGCGGGTCTTCGCGTTTTCGGGGCACTTAAAAAAATAAAATGAACAAAAACGAAATTTTGTTTGCTGCTGTTGCCTTGGCTGCATGCGGTGCTAAACAGTTTAGAGATGCATGAGTCGCGGCACATGATTCGCGTGAGGGTCCTTATCGCAACAACCACCACCCCTCACCAGCGAAATATACCTTGACAAAAGGAGCCGTTGTGCGTTGTTCAGGGCTCCCGCCGCCGCACGGGCAGACTTATGAAAAATTCCCCCCAAGACGCCATGGCGATCGCGTGCGGGGCGCAGCTTTCAGCGTCTACCTAGGATCCAAGACCAATTCATATCCCCCGCTCTTGTCTGTCCGCCACTTTTGAAAATGAGGCGTGAACCCCCAGTACGGTGTGCGACAAAAGGAAGGTCGATCTGCGTTTTGCTCTCGAAGATTTTCTCACAACCTCTACCACGGAATAACCGCGATGAAACTCCTCCTGCCTTCCTCTGCCCACCTAAACTTTGCCGTCCGCCACAATACCCTTTCACATCACACCCTTGGCCATGGTCGATTTCGCGCGCTGCGTTGGGTTGAGTGCGGTACAATGTACAACTAGGCGTCCGCCAGTGAGCTGTGAAGACAGTTTTCAAACACCCAAATTCTGGCTGATGCAGACGACACTTTTGCACGCACCGTGCTCGGCTTGCGACGCCAAATCTCAATGATGATATACAGCCAAAGTGCCTCAAATCAGGCGAAGCGGTCAAGGATCCTCGCCTGGATTAGCCTAGACATTAAAAAGAACCACGAAAGAAACCCTGCAGCCTGCAGCACAGCGGATTCCAAAGTAACCGCACAACAGGAAGCAAATCCTGTCTTTCTGCAGGACACCCGTGTAGTGCGGACATGGTACACTGATCGATTGCCAGCACAGCTGCCGGTGGCCGGATTGCTTATGCGGAGCGGGTCTTCACGAGCTCGGCCGCAACCAAGATGGATCCCAAACGCGCTTTGACGACCACAGAAACCGTACAGGGAAAGAGAGAAAATCGTTGCAAACGAGAAGTCCGAACGCATCAACTTGGTTCCCAAATCAACTTGATTTATTCCCAGTCATCTGCATAATATCAACTTCGTCCTACGGCGCCTCGAGAAGCACCGGAGGCATAGCCCCTCGTGGCCACGGGGGGCTCGAGAACCCTTGCCCCCCTGCGCAAGCCGCGAGCGCCAGACCTGCTCCGCCCACCCGGAGCCGTCCGGCGATCCCAGCCGCTAGGCGCAAGAGGAAGCCGCGGAACGACAGGAACGCCCAGGTCCACCTGCCGTTCAATGTCGTTGCTTTTTGTTGGCAGTGTTGATGGTGGTGGTGGTGGTGGTGGTGGTTGCCTCGGGTGTGCGTCATCTCTCAAGAACAATCAAGTCATGACTGCATCCATTGAGCGAGGGAACATTCGCTGTAGCCACACGAACAACAATCCGCACCAGTATAGGATCAATCAGTACGCAAACACCTCCGGAAAGAAAGGATGTATTATCGTACCGTGCCCAAAGAGGGAAACATCGTTGCAATATCGCCTGCAAGTTTCGTTGAGCTGGGTCAAAGAAAAGGGTTCAGACTCTTCTTGTGGTTTGCGTTGGTTTGACTCGTCATGAGTCCATTTATCTCTCCGTCAACCTCGTCTGCCTCGCCAAGCCCACGGGCGGCGCTGTCTCCATGCTGAGCTTTTAACACAAAACCAAACAAGGTGCAGCAAAGCCTGCGTTCGAATGCCTCGCGTTGAATCGCTAGCAGCTACGTCCATACCTCTCGCGTCTATCTGGCGGGGTCCAATCCAGCGGGGGCAGCTGGCCGGCCTCCCTCGCGCTAGACATGCGCCGACCAAGCTCGCCGTTCTTGCTGCTGTCGCCGCATCTCATACCCTGACATCGACGAGAGCAGCAGCATCCATCGCAGACGAACAACGACAAAGACGCGCAAAACCCGAAAGCCCATGACGACAGGTTGTTTGAGGCTTGGTGCAAGGCCGCCGGTCAAAACAAAAAATACCACAGGCGCCGACCGATCGGAGAAACGTGTGCTGAGTTCGGCGTCCAAGTATTGTACTGTGCTCACGTGGTAGTGTATCAAGAAAAAACGAAACAATGAAAACCAACAAATCCACGTATCTACCATGCCGCGGCAGCAACCACGACAACCGACCAGCAAGAAACCGAACGGCAGCACACCACTACCACCGCCCCGGACAATTCCATCGCCGTTGTGCGTTGATGACTACACGTCTGTTCTCCCCACCACGCCCTTGTCTTCTTAGTTCGACTCACCAAGAAGCAGGCTCGAACGACGTCGGCGTGTCGGCCCTGCGCCTCGAACGACGCCGACAGTCGGGCGAAACCGGCCGCCACCCTTGGCCGCAAGCACACCCCGACCCCCGCATCCACGACCGCCTTCCGAGGGTTTCCGGCCATCTCCCACGACTGAGACCTCCCCCAGTAAAGCGAGGCATCTCCCGGCCTTAATCGAATGGCCTTGCTAAACCTGGACAAGGAGGGGCGTTGCAGAGGGAGAGTGATGGTCGTGCTAAATAGTGCTAAAATCGGCTGCGTTGGACGCAAACGATCATGTCGGATTCAGAGTCCCCCTTGGTTTTACACCTTTCTCGATTCCGCACTGCGGTATACGTGATCCAAGTTTAGTTGTTTGGGGGTGGTTCGATTCCGCACTACATGTGATCCAAGTTCAAGTGTTTGGGGGTGGTAATTGCTCCCCGTCCTCACCCCCACCCCGCTCTCGGTCCCTCGCCCCCTCCTATCCTATCCTAGCAATAGCAGCTACCCCCCCGCCTAGGTGCGTACACTGCCTTCGTCTCACATCTCGCCCCCCCCTCCCTCTCGTTCCGTCGAAAACCACGAGGTGCAATATAGCAGCCGAAATCAGGCCAACCAGCAGACCAGGCAACGCTGACTGCTCTACAGTGCAGTCTAATGGTTTGATTTCAGTCGCGATAGCAGTGTTTCTTGGGTACGGAGGTTACACGGAGCGCCTGCGTTGTTCTCCCGTCGTGAAAAAGGCACGCCCAACACAGGCACCACCAACCTACAATGTAGGTACCGCGCCAGAGAGTCTCCGGCACACCGCCCTACGGGACAAGGTTGAACACTGAAGGGACACATATCCGTATGATACCTACAGTACAGTAGCGGCTACGGTTTAAGAGAACTTATTTAAGAGAAAGTACGGATTTAAGAGAGAGGAATTGGCGTGTACCAATAACAATCGATTTAAGAGAAATTTCCTTTTGCAGCTGGGATTTTTCTCTTAAATCGAACAATGTGGAAACCACGTGGACACACACACCCACACAGCTGCAGACACCATGCCCTGCGTGGCGGGCAGTCGCTGCACGGCTGTCCCCGATCACACGCCAGGCCCGCCGGCGTTCACAAACCACTAATGTAGAGGAGTCTGCAGGCAGTACCTCCATGGCACCTGTGGTGTGGTGGACCCTCAGGGCACCTCCGAGATGCATCGCATCTGCCACAACTGCCTTTCCTCCCGTGAGCGCATGACTTCAGGCTGTAGAGGACAACGTGGAGGTAGCCGAAGCGATCGTTACAGAGATGGTAGAGGACCTCTGTGATGAGAATTTGGTGGGCATGGATCTTTCCTCTGACGACGAGGACGACGACCTGGTTGAGCTACGCCAATCGGGACAGTCGGCGGCGGCAGCGGCCCCGGCTCCGCCGCCGTACGCGAATGTAGCAAATCATTTTGGTGAACTTGAGGATACTGCCGAGAAGTGCCGCATGTCCGAAGTGTCTTTTCACCTCCGCAAGGCTAAGCTAGCGTGGATGAGTGCCTACGGTTCGAGGGAAACCAAGCAGACGTGCATGAGCGACTTCCTTTGACGGTTGCAGCGCAGATCGTGTTCAGGCTGACAGGTCGCCAGGGTAGCGTTGGTTTCTTGGGTTTGTGTTATTTGTACGGCGAGTGATGTTTTGATATTGTGAAGCTGTTTTTTGTTCGTTGACTCGTGTTTTTGTCGGGGGTTCAAATCGATGGGATGAGAGGTATGAGGGTGTTACATATGTTGAGGGTACGGTGGGAGGAAGGTGCAGTGTGTAAACGGGTGCGTCGTTCTTGAGTGCTGGTGTATTCGTCGCCTCGTATTGTCCTTCTAGAAGAGGTGCAACTATGAAACCCAGCTATAAAACAACTCAACCAAAACCTTTTACGTGTCCACGTGCAAAAATGTGCATCGCATCACACGACGATGATTTATTTTTCCGAACGCAGATCCACCAAAAGCGTACAACGTACAGCAGTGCTTGGGTCCACGTGCTTGCCAACCAAGAGAATGAGCGGTGTTTGGAGGTAGCCCGACGTGGTAACGCTAGCTGCGCAAGTGACATGCATGATACGCTCTCTTTATGACCTATTTTGGCATTCGAGTGTAGTCAGTGCGCGAGAGCCCCTGTTTCACGACCTTCAGTTTTGTCTACGATATAAGAGAGAATTCTCTTAAAGTGAGATTCTGTTTAAGAAAATTCTCTCTTATATCGTAGCCAACACGATATAACAGAAAGCCGGATTTAAGAGAGTGAAATTGGCTTGTACCGACCCTCTCTTAAACCGTAGCCGCTACTGTACGGCATTTTGTTCGATGTGAAACCACCCGTTTCCATCAGGCCGGTCGCCCCCTTGGTCTAGTGATCAACGACTATGCACGGTACTGTTAGCCTCGAAGACCAGCAGGTTGTGGATTTGTCTGCTGTTCGTATTTCGTCAAGATTGCTGTCTGGCCTCCGGAACCGCTGTCTACTCTTCTACTGAGTGATGAATGTTGGTGGCGACAAAGTGCGTGCGAGCGAAAAAAAAATACACATCCAACGGCGATGCAGATTTTTCAGTGCTGTGTCTTACGTTGACTTAGCGCAGTGACTGCTGTCACAAGTAGCGTTCTTTCTCAGTTTGTACCACTCTTCCTAACTGCGGACCTTGATTGGTCTGCATTACATACATGCTGCTGTATTGACATTTTGAATCGGGTGGCACATTATGCAAGCTCACCACTCCACGGACAGCTCAGCCTTTCCTTCTTTCAGCAGCTTCACGGCTTTGTCACGGCAGAGGTTTGGGTCCTTGGTAGCGAGCTGAAGCTCTACCACCTCCTTGCTGAATACCATGGCGCCAAGGTGGGAAGGTGGGGATGAAATGGTGTGAACAAGTGCATATGTGAGTGGAACATAGGAAGGGGCTCCGCGGAATGATGGTTCGAAATGATTGGAAAATGGTTTGGAAAATGGTTCGGAAAACGCTGCATAGCTACACTGCATACAGTGCAGCGTGCAGCGTGTATCGCATGTGGTGTGGGGTGTGGGATGTGGGAGTGTGCGATTGCTCGCCCCTTTGCCAGGCGATTCTGGAAGATCCATAACGCACCTTAGATATCGGAGGTAGACCTCAGAGGTAGACCTTGATGAACAAAAAGATCGAAGTGGGTCGTGGACCCTCGCCGCCAAATAGTCTACAGCTCAATATTCGGAGCGAGAGCTGGTTGTAAATGCAAGTACTTTTTGAGTTCAACGGCGAAAATGTCATGTCCTCTCTGCGTGTTTGGATTTCATTTCTTGAAGACAGAAGTCACTGCTCGTACGCCACCCGTACCACCACTTCGGGGGCGGGGGTGCTGCCCGAAGCCATGACAATGGTTGAACGCACTGTTGGTTGGAAGTTGGTTTATTCATGCAAGTCCTCCACATCACAATCGTAGCAGCAACGCGTACGCATGCCGTGAACATGTAGGACGACGACTGATTGAGGGTGGTACCGCGGGAGCATGCCACCGTAAAAAGAACGCCAATTGAAAAAGCCTCCCGATATTCTTTTTTTCCGACAAGTGCCTGAGGCACGCACGGACAGCAGTGGAGGGCACGGCAGTACGAGCCCGAGCAGCTCGCGGTGATTTGTGGTGCACGCAACCAAAACTTGGGTTTCTGAAGCCTCATGACATACTATTAATAGAGCATTTTCATCATTTGAAGTGAACAAAGTACGTACTTAGACTATGTATATCTCAGCAACAGGTGGTTTCGGTCCCAAGTCATTTACTTCTACCCCAGCAAACAGACGCCCAACACCAACAAACACTACAATACACCCAGCATGAAATGCAGTATACAGTGTACAGCAGTTACTTCCACAAGCGCCCGGTGTCTGAGTCGGGAGTATGATCTATCTCCCCCTCAACGCCATCACGTTTCTAAAGGCGCGGACTATTAGCTAGAGGCGGCACCGTGTTGTTACAGCACAGAGAGTTTGAAAATCTACGGCCGAAAGCAAGTAAATGATTGCTCCGCCATCTACTCCTCTTCCTCCATGTCCACTGTTTCCGCGCTTGGAGGAATCTGTAAAAAAAAAAAGAGTGACATGCAAAAAAAAAAAGGAGGGCTTGTCATTTTCGGTGATGTATCAGGCCTCATAATGACAACGAAATGGCAGATATGACACATGAATAGGCACAGGGGGCAAGACGGGGGGCGAGATTCCGCGCTCAAAAGCAACAGGAGGCTTTAGTTACAAGCCGTGAGCCGACGAGCAAATAAACGGCCATCGGACATACTGCCTAACACGTCTGCAACAGTTCCCTGAGATCGTGATTCGACGTACACACACGCAAACAAACATGTCGAATGCCTAGCAAAACGCGCACAACACATTGTTTCGTGCCGCTGTGGATAAACGCACGCAACACGTGTCGCGCGGTTGTACCCTATTTCGGCCAGAACAGGCGAAACACGCCGAGCACACACCTTGTTCCGGATAAAGAACTTGTCCCCAAGGTGCGCTGAGTCAACGAGGGGTGTCCAGTGTACCTTATTCGGGTCCACTCGGGGCTCCTTGATGGGATACTTGGTGGCGAGGGTGCTCAGCATCACCTGACCCCCCCGAAAACACGCCACGAACAAGGCGGCAAGGGTGGTGACGCGAAATCAGTTCGGAGATGCAAAGCCTTGCCGCGATTGGACTCTTCGGGTGCGGTTTGTTTTTTCTTAGCTTGCTGTTTGCACGTTTTTTGTGTTGCTTCGATTCGACATACACTACAGGACATTCGAGGGTTTTTACGGTTACGGGATTGGACAATACGGAATGGCGGTACATCTATCGGGCAGGGTTCGGAACGGGCAAAAACCAAACAACAACAACAACAACAACAACAACAACAACAGCAGCAGCAGCAGCAACAGTGACAGTAACAACACGGCAGCAGCCAGGCGGACTGCGTCTCTTACCCGCGTGGCGACGATGCGGTGCTCTCCGTCGGCGTACTTGAGCATGCCGAGGCGAGTCATCGTGTCTATCACGTCCTCCGAGATAACCGAAGTTGCTTTCGACACGTCCACGATCGCCAGCTCGCGCCCCTTGCCATGGCCGGGATACGGGCGCATCGCAAAAAAAAAACAAGTAGACAAAATAAATAAAAACGTCCAAGAATATATTCCACACTTCCTCCGAGCATCTCGTCGGTTACATAGTTATGGAGGGAAAAGACGGGGCGAACAGGTAAAAAAGGAAGTAATTTTTCAACTCCAAGGGCGCAAAGTGGGCTGGAAGAGTCGAACGATTATCATCCTCTCGCGCTCTTATGCTTGTCGCGGCCCACCTCGAAGGATTGCATCGCCTGGATGATGACGCTGGCCCAGTACGATCGGTACGCTGCCGCGCCCAAGTCCGACAGAGGCTTCTCGGGACTGCCGACCTTCTCCTCCTGCCAAGCGGGGACACAAAAACAAAACGCGGCAACGAAAAGAGTGCCAAGAAGAAACCTTGAGCATGCGACGAATTTGCATACCCATACATGGTTGAAAACTGAAGACACCCGAAACAATAACGACGTAAGCACATGAGGAGGCAATTAAGGAGCAAAATGAAAAGCGAACAAATATGTGGAACTGTGAGTAGGATTGTGCGCTAGCTGTGCAATCCGTCGAATCGAGTGCGCCGTGAACAACGATACCACTTCTCGTTTCGCACGGTCCTCTGCCCGAGCTCGAGACCAGCTAGCTTTTGCGAGAAGCCGTGGCTTCGACGTTGCGCTGGGTGGTGCAGTGTCAGCCAGTATATGGTGTCAGATCATGTCAGTGCCAACTCACACCCCATCTCCAGGCTACAGAAGCGCTAGATTTGCACCTGTCCGCGGAGCTCAGTACTGCTGAGTACAACCCACGCCAAGACAAAAACATCCACCGTCCAAAAAGAAACGGCCCACAGCAACACAACAAGAGAATGCCACGCACCAATGTACGCCATAACTTGTGAAGACTAGTGCACGAAGACTGTTAGTCTAAAACATGAGACTCCTAGAAACCTGGAGCTTACGTACGTACAAGAACACAGCCACGATCGCCGTCGTCGGCCCTTCAGCAAAACACATGGCGCGACTCCTGGTTGATCTCCTTCAAAATGGAAAAAAAACTTCAAAATGGAAAACAAAACAAAATAAGACTGTCATACACCACCGTAAGGACGTCAAAATCATAGCCAACAATCACCACCGGTCGTTAAAAACAAACAACACACACCAAACACACACGGAGGCCGCACGTGCACACGCACACTGAACCTTGCTGAGCTCACGCGAGAAGATGACGTGAAGAGCACAGCCAACAATCACCCTTGACCCTGAAGCACACACACCAAGACACAAGAGGCAAAACCACACACGCGCACAACGCACCTTCTTGCTGAGCTCGTACGAGAAGGCGATGAGAACCCTCCCGTAGCCCTTCCGCTGGTAGGACGGGAACGTCAGGATGCACGCCAGGTTGTACCCGAGGTCGGAGTACTTCTCCTTGCTGAAGTAGCCCACCGGGTGGAAACCGAAGCTGTCCACCTGTGTTTCCGGGGCGTGCAGCGCAGACAGAAAAATCACTATCAACAAGAAACCTTCTTAATTCGTGTTGTTGTTGTCGTCTTGACATAAAAAAAAAAACGTTCCGGTCTCCGCTCAGGACCTTCAAATATCCATATAATAACAAAATATTATTTACACACACCCAACACCGCTCAGCGCAACGCGGTCACTGAGATGCCTCTGTCGTCGTCGCCGTTTCTGAAAACCTCGCCGGAGCGCGGTGAAACATTTATTTCGCTGCTCTTCGGCTGGAGGGATGCACCGGGATGGAGCCGACTTCGCCTCTCACTCGCTCCCCACTCGGCCATTCCTGGTGCGGTGAGAACCTGGCGTGCTCCGTCTCGGCTTTGTAGGGATGCGAGGTCAATGGTCTAACGACTACGGCATGCACGACTATGAGTACAACCCCCCCCCCCCCCCCCCCGAGCTTTCCGCTTGGGGGTGCCATTTCATAAACTGGTCCGGTGAGAACTCATCCTGGCCAGTCCCGGCTCTGTTGGGAAGCGAGGTCCATGGGCTAACGACCACCGCCTGCCCGACTATTAG